GGGGGAAGAGGCGGGGGAGGAGGGAACTTTGGCTGCCGCAGGACCAAGCTTCTGCCTCCTTCCCCAGCAGGGGAGAGCGGGGTGTGTGTGTGTGTCTCGGTCCCCACCTCCCGCTCTCCCCTGCGGGGGCAGAAGCTTGGTCCTGCGGCAGCCAAGCTTCCCCCCTCCCCCGTTTCTTCCCACAGCATGGTGCATTCCGGCCCCTCCTCCTCCTCCCTCTCCTTGCCAGCGATGGCCCTTGCGAGGGGGAGGGGGAGCGGAGCAGAGCCGAGCGGCAGCGTGCTCGCTGCTCCGTAGAGCAGGCAGAGACAGGTAGGGACGGAGGGTGGGAAGGGGGTGGAACAGGGCATATCCCTCCCAGCCCCCTGCCTTGAGCCGCTCAGGGCAGGGGGCTGGGAGCACCTCCACGAGCCGAGCACCCCACCCCTCTGCCCTGAACCCCCACACATGCACCCCAGCCCTCTGCCCTGACCTCAAGTCGCCCCCAACACCCAGCCTTCTGCCTTGCACCTCCACACACACCCCAGCCCTCTGCCTGGACCTCGAGTCGTCCTCAACACCCAGCCTTCTGCCCTGCACCCCCCCACACACCCCCAGCCCTGACCTCGAATAGCCCCCAACACCCAGCCTTCTGCCCTGCACCCCCCCACACACACCAACCCTGTGCCCTGACCTCGAGTTGCCCCCAACACCCAGCCCTCTGCCCTGCACCTCCACACACACCCCAGCCCTCAACCCCCCCACACACTCAGCCTTCTGCCCTGCACCTCCACACACACCAACCCTCTGCCCTGACCTAGAGTCCCCCTCCAACACCCAGCCTTCTGCCCTGCACCTCCACACACACCTCAGCCCTGAACCCCCACACCACACCCAGCCTTCTGCCCTGCACCTCCACACACACCCCAGCCCTCTGCCCTGACCTCCCCCCCCAACACCCAGCCCCTTGCCAGCCGGCGTCCCGGCCACAGGTCCTGCTCAGCCCGCTGCAGGCCTAGGTGAACAGAACCCCAGGCTGGAAGCGGGCTGAGCAGGCTGGTGGCGTAAGATCAGCATTTTAATTTAATTTTAAATGAAGCTTCTTAAACATTTTGAAAACCTTGTTTACTTTACATACAACAATAGTTTAGTTATATAATATAGACTTAGAGCGACATCTTCTAAAAAACATTAACAGTATTACCGGCAGGCGAAACTTTAAATTAAAGTGAATAAATGAAGACTCAGCACACCACTTCTGAAAGGTTGCCGACCCCTGCTTTATAGAATGGGGAACTTTTGATGGGGCAGCTTGAACACACTACATTTCATTACAATATCTAAAACAATAAATGGAATTCAAAAATGTCAATTTTGTAAGCTTGACTGGCAGTTTGTAACAGGAGTTTGTTTCACATGCTTGATTTACTGAAGCAAGCTGTGCGTTCGTATATAAAACTATAACCAGCATAAAAACAACGAGGAGTCCGGTGGCACCTCAAAGACTAACGGATTTATCTGGGTATAAACTTTTATGGGTAAAAAACACCATTTTAGCTATGAAAGCTTATGCCTAAATAAATCTGTTAGTCTTTAAGGTGCCACCGGACTCCTTGTTGTTTTTGTGGATACAGACTAACAAGGCTACCCCTCTGACACTTACAACCAGCATGGTAAATTAGGCAGGTGAAAACAACACTTTAGTCCTATAACACTAGCTGTTCATTAATTATATATTCCCAGAATGACAGCCATTGCCAGGTCAAGGAATTAATTGGAAGCTACGTTGCTTCTGATGCTGTGCCATCTTTATGTGTATTTTTTAAAGTGCCATCATTAAGTTGGATTTCCTGCTTAAACTCAAACAAAATTAAATGCTTAACTGGCTACAAAATTTATTCAAAACCAAATGTCTCATGTATTTACAAAATTATCAAATGTGACAATCTCTATAACATTTAGAAATTAAAATAATTATTTATTAAAATCCACCCATTTACAGAACTTAAATATTCTAAATACTTTAAAGCAAAATTAATCATTGATTTAAAAAAAAAACACCACCACCTATATAGATTTAGGTTCCAATCCTCCAAACACTTCAGCATCTGCATCAAAAACATTTTAGGGTAGAAATTCACTTATAGTTTTGAATAGGAAAATCCTGACCTTCTCAATCCCTGGTTATATTTACCTAATTTTCAAAAGTGAATACAAGCTACCTGTAGTTTAAGATGCTATATAGCTCAAGCCTGATTTTGAAAGATTAGATTAATATGTGACAGTCATTTTCCTTTGGTACTACCAAAACTTACAAATGAGAGACACAAAGTGGGTGAGCTTTTATTGGACCATTTCTGTTGGTGCAAACGCTTTCAAGCATCACCAAACTCTTCCTCAGGTATGGAGAAGATATGGTGAAATAGATTGTTAAGCATAGGGAAGTCACATATTTTAAATGGTTTCCTGCAATGAAGTGGGCCATTAAAAGCTCTTCTGTGGTAGGACAATGGAGGGCTAGTAGGCAGCAGGGTGTGTAACAAGTTGTAATGGGCCATAAAATCTGTCTCTGTTAAGTCCATGATTTTTAGCATCCAGCAGACTGATGAGTTTAAATTCCCAGGCTCATTTTTTGAAGGTGTTGTGCAGGTTTCCTTTAAGGATGAGGACTGTGAGTGATATAGAGTGATTACTTTGTGAAAAGTGTTCAATCACAGTGGATAGCGTGTCTGATCATTTTTATGTGCGAGTTCATTGGAGAGCCTAGTGATTGATTGGTTTCACACATAATTTGTTGTTGGGGGCCTTTGATGCACTGAATGTGGTACACCACATGTAGTGATGAGCATATGTAGGACCCATAAATCCTGAAAGGTGTGTGTGTGTGTGTGTGGGGGGGGTATTGGCCATCATACAGTGGAGATTGCCTGCAAGTTTTGCATTTGTTGTATGGCAGGGGCTGGTGTCACTTTGAGTTGGTGTGTCCTGGGTCTGTGGGAAGCTTGGCAAGGTTGGGGTATTTGAAGGCCAGAAAAGGGGCAGGAGGTCATGAAAGATTTAGTTAAGGATGTAGTTCCCATTTACTATGGGTTGTAATTATCTGCTTATGCTACGTATGGGTTCTAGTGCAGGGTGGTAGGTGACAATTAGGGGTGTGCTGTCA